GCTGAGGGTGGTGAAGCACTGGCCCAGGTTGCCCAGAGAGGTGGTGGATGCCCCATCCCTGGACACATTCCAGGTCAGGCTGGACGGGGCTCTGAGCAACCTGATCTGGTTGAAGATGTCCCTGCCCACGGCAGGGGGGTTGGACTAGATGGCCTTTAGAGGTCCCTTCCCACCCAAACTATTCTATGATTCTAAAACAAAGGTACAAAGTAACTATGTTTTACAGGCTCCTTTAGTTCTTTAATGATCATCATCTAGATAAAATGGGGAAAAAAAAGGACTGGTGGAGATAAAAATATAAAACATATTCACCGTGTTAAAACACTGTCATGAGTATCAGCAATAGCTGGTACAAGAGATGCCTTTGTTATTTCTTCCAGCCTCTTTCCCGTTCAGATCCAGTACCTGCTGTATAGCTCGGGGTATGATTCCTCGATGCTTGTACTCGGCAGTCGCTCCCGTCATCGTGTAAGTTTTACCAGCCCCCGTTTGCCCATAGCACATTATCGTGCCTAGAAAAGATTCCAAGCAAAAGAATAAACTCAGGAGGGAACCTCTGCATTTCTCAAACGGAACATCAGCAGGATCTCTCCCTCAGATCAAATCTCTGCTTGTTGTCAAAATAATAAAAATAGCAACAAATTACCATTATAGCCAATTAAAGCTTCGGACACCAATTTCTCGGCCACAGTCTCGTAAGCCAGTTCCTGGGAGGTATTGTGAAGGACGCCATCCAGCCTAAAGGACCAGTCGGTCTGCCTGTTATTCACAACTCCTTTCCTGGCATCTTTTTTGATGTATATATCTATGGTCTGAAACCCAAAAAGAGACGAAGATAACTTCAATAGCCACGAAGAGTTTCAGCAGTTATTGTCTGAAAAAAGCCGCCCACTGAAGACCTGAAGATAAGCAGAGAACGGAGCGCAAGTAATAGTATTGTTCTACTGACCTGGATGGTATTTGCTGGTAACAGATATTCTATAAAAAGGAAATGTGGCTAAGCTCATCTGCTTACCTTCCAGTGCCGTGTCTGATTTTGTGTCCCAGGGAAATTATGAGTTAAGCAAGAGAGGGTGAAGGGAGGAACTTGCATCAGGGGGGATAGAAATAGGCTGTACCACAGGGAGACCTCTTAGGTTGGAATTGTGGTTGCCCCTGGGCGTCCCTCAAGGATCAATCGGGGTCCTAGTCCCTTTGAGGATTTTCTCTAGTGACTGTATCACAAGAAGTACGTTTTCCATAGTCACACTTGCCGATACAAAACCACGAGCCACGGGCAGCGCAGCGGAGGACAGCAAGCGGGAGCACATGAATCAACATGCACCAAAACGTTATGCGTGGCCTTAAGGAACGGGAGAATTCTGCGTTTCTGTGGGCAAAACTGAAATCAAATTCCCAACCTTTCACACTTGCAATCTCTTTTTCTCTCTCTACCTTGTTGTCTGGCCCAAACTTGATCATATCTTGAGCAAAATCGGCTGTTGGCTTGACTCGCACAAACGTACGGACTCTCTTTTCTACTGCATCCATTCTCACTAGAGAGGGAAAAAAAGGAAAAATCACCAATGTTGCGTTCCCTAAAATGAAATGTAATGTTATTTGTCATGAAAAGGCAAGCTACAGAGTAGTCAAGTTTAAAAAGAAAGCGCTGACAAACGTTCAGCTGCAGTTTCTATTCTTTATTAAAAGCAACTGTGGGCAAACAGTTGCTGAAAATTCTTTCCAGCATTGTTCTGCTCAGAAAACTGAGCGTGGAAGAAAAGAAGGCTCTTACTGATCGCGATTTCCTCTTGTGTACCAGACACGTTAGTGTTTGACGACACAAGCTTTTCTCCCTCTTAGCCTTGCAAAGCAAAATAATCGCAGGAATATGAGACGGATTTTCTTTTGTCTAGCGTTTTCTCTGTGTGAAGGCACACACAGCCTCCTGTTTTGTAACGTCAGTTCACCCAGAACTGCGTTTCAAGCTTCTGAGGCTTTGAGTGAGACGTGTTATAGGTGAAACCAAGCCCAAAGGAGCTCAAGAGCACTGCAAAGGGCCGTGCGGCCCGTTGGTATGCCAACATTTCCAACCCTCCGAGCAGCAATTACCTTGCTTACGGTCTGTATTGAATACGCATTTCTCATACCTGTGTAACCCTTTCTTTGTGCTGATATGCAAAAATATGTTAAAGTTCCTAATGAAGACCCGATCTTAAAGTTTCCGGAAGAAAAAAAAGTCATGTGCCTGACAACTCCTGGTGAAATTCTTGTGTTGGTCTTCCCGTCAACGCGAATTCAGTAAGCGGCTGTCAACATCCAGCACGGCTAGAGGATCTGCCGACTAAAATCCACCGGAGAAGGGCCCAGGGGATACATCCAGCTGCTAAAGCCCCACCTGAGAGACACGGGCTGGGTATTTTTAAATCCCTGGAACGTGCAGACCCTGTGTTTTCTCTCGACTGTTTCCCACAGACAGCCTGTGCTCAGTAGCTGTGTAATATCTAGCGACAACGTCTAGCTTCAGGCAAAATCTTTCATATTTCTTGTGTATTAAGTATTTTTATTTGTGGTCTCTCCGTCACCTCATCTGCTGTGACTGCTCTAAAAAGAAACGTAGAGATGCGAGGTGAAACCGAGACTTCTCTTTATTTAAAATAGAGGTGAGCATTTGAATGACTACCTGGTAAAGGTCCCGCGGGCGCCGTGTCCTTTTCCTAGACTACCCCAGCGATGCCAACACAACGCCCGCCGTAGGATCCAGAATGGTGCTAGGTCACCGTGACCATCACCTCTTCAGTATCGGAGACAGCCTTCGCACAAACGGTCTGTGAAAAAGCACGGTGATAGAGAAGCGCACAGACGTCACCATAAGGATCGCTTATGCTCGCGCTTGTGCAATTTCGGCACAGAAAGCTGCCAAAATATTTGCCAGCGCTGCAGAAGTAAAGGCAGGAGCAGCACAGGTACAAGCGAAATGGAAACAAGACACGGAGTTTTAAAGCTGGTAACCAGCGTGGAAATGCTCCCCATCTGGTTATCGGGATGGCTAGAGATCACAAAACTCTGCTACACAAATACAACCCAGTGCTGGAGGGTGTCATGGTTTAACCCCAGTTGGCAACTGAGCACCACGCAGCCGCTCGCTCACTCCCCCCGCAGTGGGATGGGGGAGAGAATTGGAAGGGGAAAAGTGAGAAAACTCGTGGGTTGAGATAAAGACAGTTTAAGAGGTAAAGCAAAAGCCGCGCACGCAAACAAAGCAAAACAAGGAATTAATTCACTGGTTCCCATGGGCAGGCAGGTGTTCAGCCATCTCCAGGACAGCAGGGCTCCATCACGCCTAACGGTGACTTGGGAAGACAAACGCCATCACTCCAAACGTCCCCCCCTTCCTTCTTCTTCCCCCAGCTTTATATGCTGAGCATGACGTCCCATGGTATGGAATGTCCCGTTGGCCAGTCTGGGTCAGCTGTCCTGGCTGTGCCCCCTCCCAGCTTCTTGTGCACCTCCAGCCTGCTCAGTCGGTAGAGCACGAGAAACTGAAAAGTCCTTGACTAGTGTAAGCATTACCTAGCAACAACTAAAACATCGGTGCCTTATCAACTTTGTTCCCATCCTAAATCCAAAACACAGCACTGTACCAGCTACTGGGAAGGAAATTAACTCTACCCCTGCCGAAACCAGGACAAGGGGCACGTGCTTTGTTTAGAATCACAGAATGATTTGGGTTGGAAAAGACCCTTAAGATCATCGAGTCCAACCGTTAACCTGATTTCTGCAAAGCTGCAGCAAGAAGCACAGCAGGAAAAAGAAGGAAGGGAGAATTTTAGGCAAAAACTCTTAATACGAATCAGAGAGAGACAGAACAAATTCAGAACGGGTGGAATTTGCCTCACTGCAACAATGCCCATTGTTCGGTGTTAGGACAAAAGCAATTCCTCCTGGGAGTATTTACTGACATTGGAAGATGGGAAGGGAACAGGGAAACACCTCTCTGGCAGACTCCTAACCGACAGCGCAGAGACCAAAAGCTCTCCAGCCCATCAGCAATACCCCAAGCACCCAACCAATCTCATTATTAATTGGGTTTTTTTGTCTGCAGTGGAATTTTTACGGAGGCACTACGAAGAAAACTACATGTTTATGGGTCAGCTAGCCAAAAATGTTTCTGGCTGTTTCAGCACAAAATCCTCCTCCCTCAGTTCCAACAATAAATGTTGAAAGGACAAGAGCAAGACTTGCCGTCACCCTCGCTCATCATTCAGCCCCTGTAGGGTAAACCAAGCCAGCAAAGCAAATCACAACTCCCAGCTCGGGCCGTTGGTTTTGAAGCTCTTTATGACAAACCCAAGTTCCTTGGTCCCTCCTTATACAGCAGCTGAAGCCAGCAGGACTCCCCCATTAGTTAGTCTCAAGATTAACGGGCTGTTTATGCTTGGAATTAATGGAAACACGGTTCTCTCTGCAATGGAGGCGGATGCCAACGTGCCCACACAAAGATTAGGGCCAAAGGGAAATTTTAGACGGGGATTTTGGGGCTGATTGGCAAAGAAACTTGGACCCAGAGCAGCGAAGTGTGGTTTTCGGTTCTGCCTGAGAGACCTGAGCTTATCCACCATGGACAGACAAAAGCTTGGGCCAAATCATAGAATAGAATCATAGAATAGTTTGGGTGGGAAGGGACCTCTAAAGGTCATCTAGTCCAACCCCCCTGCCGTGGGCAGGGACATCTTCAACCAGATCAGGTTGCTCAGAGCCCCGTCCAACCTGACCTGGAATGTGTCCAGGGATGGGGCAGCCACCACCTCTCTGGGAAACCTGTGCCGGCGTCTCACCACCCTCAGCGTAAAGAATTTCTTCGTCTGAACCTCCCCTCTTTTAGTTTAAAGCCATTCCCCCTTGCCCTAAACACAAGAGGCAAACTGGGGAGGCAAAGCTCCTTTGGGGAGGTGACCACGAGGCAGCCCCTAGAACTCAAACTCCAGTGATGCTTTGAGAGTTGAATCCACCCGGTTGGACACCAAAAGTTCTGCCCCAGCGCCCCAGGCCATCCGCACGCCCCGGGCACAATCCTCAGCTGGGCCACCTCCGCCCCAAGGAGAACGGGGGAGAGAACGGCCCCAAATTACCTTCTGCCTTCCCAGCTGAGCGCAAAGCAACCAGAGAGTGCGGGATGTGAGGCGGCTGGTGACACGGGTGCACCGATAACGGGGGCCTAGGAGAGATGACAGAAGAGACAGGCTTTTGTTTAGCCTGGAGAAAAGGAGGCTGAGGGGAGACCTCATCGCTCTCTACAGCCACCTGACAGGAGGTTGTAGCGAGGGGGGGGTCGGTCTCTTCTCCCAAGTAACTGGCGACAGGACGAGAGGAAACGGCCTCAAGTTGTGCCAGGGGAGGTTTAGATTGGACGTGAGGAAAAATGTCTTTACTGGA